TGCATTAAATCTGCCGCAACATGCAATCGTGCGTCCTCAAACCACGAAAACCTCGATCTTATCCCCGAGATTCCCTAGATATCCATAATGATTAGTGATTTCCTGGTCAATTTCACCCCAAGATTTGAAAATCAAATGCTTCAAAAGATCAAACTTTTGACCTTCCTCTTAAAATGCCTATAAATACTTGAATCCTTTCCCTTTGTATTTTACGCTTCCAGAAACCTTGAAAATCCTCTCGCCATTTATCTTCTAAATCCCAGAAAACCCAGAAATTCTCATCCCAGAAATCCTTCAAATTTTCACAATGGCTTCCAACTCTTTTATTTCCAAGCTCTCTGATGAATATGCCAAGTGCCGGGACTTTATCAACCGGAGTGCCATAAAAAACCTGCGATTTGAAGGTGATTTAAGCACATCCCATCAGATTTAAGCACAACGTCTCGACCTCCATTACCAACCTCCTCAAGGATCATTGCTTGGCACCCCTACGTCAAGGTCTTAATTGGTCGAAGTGGGAATCGACTAAACCCCAAGGGGCTTGGCCTTTAACCACCGCGCCTTGGGTAGCGTGGGTCGAAAGGATGAAGAGGTTCTTTAATAAAGAATGGAGGGCTCTTAGTATCTATGACGCCATCAGGCTCTCGACCATCGAGATCGTCATAGATAAAGAGCTCCTTATGGCAGCTTTAAGCTTTTGGTGTTCGACCACCAATACTATGGTCCTTCCGCTTGGCCCCATTGGCCCCACCATACTTGATATCTCAGCCATTCTCGGGACCTCCCTTTCAGGCCTTCCGATTGATGTCTTTCTCTCTGGGTGTCCATCCAACCTCGACCTCAAGATGCTCTTTGACGAACGTGCCGTTGAATCACTAAGGAAGAAAAGTCAAGAACCCTTAAAAGAAGAAGTTCAGAAATTGCACAAGAACTTCTTCAACTACAACACCTTTATCCAACATTTCGCCGGCCGAGGCGAAAAAACCCTTAGGAAGGAGGAGTGCGAAGCCTTCTTCTTCTATTGGTACAACAAATTCATTTGATGTACCAAATCAAATAAATGTTTGGTCGAGAACATGTCGGTTGCTGAAACATTAGCCAGTGGTCACGTCCTGGCTCAGCTCGGTTGTCCTTGCCTAACTTACTCGTTGTCTGGCCGAGGCAACGGTCCACAAGATTGACCCGCACCAGACCAGCCCACTTTAGGTTCTTTAATTCTGGCTGCAAGTCTATTTCGCCACCCTTAGGCCAGAAACTTCCAACTTTGTACCCACCGAAGCATTGGGTCTTCAATTGGGCTCTAGACCCGCTCCTCCTCATTCGGCCGAAGAAGTCTTTAAATACTTTTTCGGCCTACAAAACCTCTTTGATGACTAGTTTTTCATTTGCCGTCATCAAGAATACCTTCCTTCTATCAGACTTCCATCCTTGGCATGGGATGAAGCCGAAGACACTAACCTCCGAAAGAACTGGGGTCGTTTGATTTAACTTGTGACCTTCCTTTTGGCTATAATGTCAAGCGTGCTAGTTGGGAAATCTACCAACCCCACTTCACCGCATGGCAACTTGGTTATCTTCAAGACTGCCCACTGCTTCTACTAACCTCCCGTTCTCTCCTGAGTTGAGGACGCCTTTCTAGTTCTTCGGAAAGAGAATGCAGGGAGGCCGAACAAGAATTTCAAGAAAGGTACAAGAAATTCCACCTTCGGCTGAACGTCCCTAAAACTCTCAATACTGCCACCTTCGTTGACTGGTAGGCCGCGTATACTTAAGACTTTTTTGACGCGCCCATCGAAAATGTTATCGAGAAAATATTCAGCAACTGCCCGAAGAAAACTTTCGCCCCCACACCCACAGAAACAGCTCAAGGTATTTGTCTATCCACATTCGTTCTTCAAATACCTTACTCAACTTTGCTGACTTGCTTTGGTTTCCTTAGGTGGTCAAGCGCTGAAAAAGACAGATGTGATTGTCATGGCCGTAGTAAAAAAGAAGTCGGTCCTTTCTTCCAAGAAAATCAAAGTAGCCGCATACGCCTTGTTGAGCAAACAGCCCTACCAGGACACCGAGACGGCAGGTGAAGCTTCTCGACCCCCAACATGCGTCAAGAAATTGGCGAAAAAAAGAGAATGAGAGATTCACGTTATCTCTAGCCAGACCACGAGAGCAGCCGATCCTAGTGTCTCTCCTCCCGTTCCGGTTGTCCAAGCCTTGATGGAAAAACGGCCATCACCAACTCGCTAAGCGGCCCAACCAGTCCTTAGGGTCGAGGCTGGACCTGCTGCTGCTCCATTTACAGCTTCGGAGCCGACCGTTACGCCGAATGTTTTGGAAAAGGTGGCCCCACCCGTTGAGACAACTCCCAACCAACAACCAACGATCATTTTAGAAGAGGTATGATTATGTTGTTGGTAACTCCCTTCGTCTTGTCAAATTCATAAGTATTGACGGACTTTTTATTTCAGGATGACAAAAGCAACGAGATCATGTTGACAAACCACCCTCGACCAACCAAAACCCCTATTGTAAATCCCTTTCCTGAGGTTGAGGTGACCGACCCGAGTCGACCTTCTTGCAGCAGATCGCAGGAAAAGGCCATTCGTTGAACCTGAAGCGACAACGGAGACGCCGGTCCATCCTTAGGAACACAACCTCGGCGTTCCTCCTCAAGAAGTCACTTCGGCTTTCGTAAGACTCAATCCCTTTCTCTTGTTAATTTTACTATAACAAATATGAACCTAGAAAATATTAAATGTTAGGTGCCCGACCATTTATTTCACCAATAATTCTACACGCCGAATGGTGTTATCTATATTTCCTGGCCACCTCAGTGGCCGTCGAACGTGGATAATGTCCATCGGCCGCATGAATTGAAGAGCAACCTTAAATACTAGGCTTGGCCATTGAGCTCTCTGGGTTCCAGCAATGAACCAGAGGACATGGCCAAAGTCTCCTCTTGGCAGGTTTAAAGCAAATTCCCTTATGCTTTATTCCTTATAATTTTTCTTCTGCTTAAGATTCTTTCTTGTACAGCCTTCGTGGGAGGTCAAGCTTGATGCTCTTCTTCTAAGCACTTCTCGAGCAGCTGGTTCATCTGCCGCGTCGGCCGAGCCTACGGAGATCGTGGCTGAATCCCGTGTTTTTGCCAAGCTGTAAAAAATTATATCCCTCTCTGTCTCTCAGGTTTTCCAGTGTAAGGGTCTCGACTTCGTAGGGGAGTGCTTGAACGACCTTACAAACGGCGGCTTCCTGAGCATTGAAAATGTTGTCTATTTGCTTGATCTTCTAGAGTGGACCCGACAACATTTTACTTTTGAACAAGCTCTCTAGGTCGAGGACGACTTAAAGGCGGCAAAGATTGCTCATGAAGCCAGCCGATCAGAGATTGAGGCCATAAAAGCGAAGAAGGCACAACTGACTGGTTTTGATCGCCAGATCTCTTAGCTTCAACGTAAAATCACCGAGCTACAACAACAAAGGTCGGCTGTTGTTTCAGAACTTGAAAGGGATTTCGAGATAAATAAGGCTCGACTGACGAATTTCACAGGCTGGCATAAAGCAAATCTAGCAGCTCCAACTTAACAAGAAGATGAGGCAAGCCAAGATCATACTGAGCAAAGTAAGGTGGCTGGAATTGAAAGTCACTCTTGAAACCTTCCTCCCCTCGATCCCCTAGAATTTTAGGAACCCCTTATAAATGTAATTGTACGTCATTTTATGAATTTAATAAGATGATCTTTATTCTCGTATCTCCCATGTGACTGGATAGTATTTCTTTAAAAATTTCTCATTGATTGCAAGTTTGTGAATTAAGTCGGTTCGATCTTTGAGATGGTAAGCCCCCTTGCCTAGGACTTTATGGACTACGAATGACCCTTCCTAATTCGGCGACCACTTACTGAATCTAGGGTCTTTAGTTCCCACAAGCAACACAGTTTGCCAAACCAACTCTCTTTCGCCGAACGTCTTTTGTTTGACTCGTTGATTATAAGCTAGCTCGGCAATCTTCTTCTGGGCTACTAATAAGTTATAAGTGTTAAACTAAATTTCTTCTAAGTCTTCCAACTCTTGTCTCATGAGTTGATTGTATTCGGCACTGAACAAACTATTTTGTTCGATCACTCGCAACGAGTTTATACTTAGTTCGATCGGTAACATAGCGTTATGCCCATAGGTTAACGCGTATGGAGTTATTCCGGTGGCTGATCGAGGTGAAGTTTGATCGGCCCATAATGCTTCATTTAACTTTAAATGCCACATACCAGGTCTCTCTCTTATCATTTTTTCAAGAATGCCGATCAAAACCTTATTACTTGCTTCGGCCTGCCCATTCGCCTGTGGATAATATGGTGTAGATTGCTCAAGTCGGATATTTAGATTTGCCATGTACTCCTTAAACCTGTCAGCTGTGAAGATTGTGCCGTTGTTAGTCAAGATCATTTCTGGTACGCCGAATCTAGTCACAATATTTTCCTCAACAAAATTGCAAACTTTTTTTGTTGTTAACTCAGTGTATGATTTTGCTTCGACCCACTTGGTGAAGTAATCGGTTGCCACTAGTATCCAAGCGTGTTTTGCTGCTCCGGACGACGGCATGATTTTGTTGATTACGTCCATTGCCCATCCTCTGAATGACCATGTTTTGGTAACAGAATGGAGTAATTTGGCCGGGACTCTTTGCATAGGTCCGTGAATCTAACACTGTATACATCCTCAATAAGCGTAGGATCATGATGGCGCACTTCCACAAACGTATTAACCCATATTTACCATTCCGAGCCAAAAGAAGTGTCATCCTATATATACATGACTCATTCCAACGAAGATCGAAATGAAGCAGTACACACCTTTACTTTAAACGCTCTGCATAACCACACATTTAACTGTGACTAATTACAATATAACACGTGGCAGATTGAGTGCGATGGTAATGCCACACCATAAGTGATGAATAACCTAACTAATTGATTTCTCCACTCAAACATGCATGTTTAACTCTCTGCATAATTGTGTTTAGCGTTCTCTTAAATAGGCAAGTAAATGGACTTCTCTTCATTGAATCCAAGCATGAGTAACGATATAACCTATGATTTCTCTCCTCTCATCAAAATCTACAAAGATGGTCGAATTGAGCGGCTCACCGGCACAACCAAGCTTCCTCCATCCCTTGATCCCCAAACTGGAGTCGAATCCAAAGATGCTGTGGTCTCACAAGAACCAGCATTGTCCGGAAGGCTTTACCTCCCCACCAAATCCACCACCAACTCACCCGATAAAAAACTCCCTCTTCTTGTTTACATCCACGGAGGCGGTTTCGTGGTTGAAACTGCATTTTCTCCAATTTATCACACCCACCTTAACGTACTAGTTGCTCAGGCCAATGTTGTTGCTGTCTCGGTTGACTACAGGCTAGCCCCAGAGCACTCTCTGCCAGCTGCTTACAATGATGCATGGGCTGCTATCAAATGGGTTGCTTCCCATTCCGAGGGGAAGGGCTCCGAAGAGTGGCTAAATCACCACGCAGATTTTCAGCGTGTGTTTTTTGCAGGTGACAGCGCTGGAGCTAACATAGCTCATCACATGGGATTGAGAGTAGGATCCGAGGGGTTGAGTGGTGTTAAGCTGAATGGCATTGTGTTGGTGCATCCATATTTTTGGGGAACAGAGCTGATTGGGGAAGAATCGGCTCTGCCCCCTATTGCAAGAGAGTATATGGCTGGTTTGTGGCGTGTGGCGTACCCCTCAACAAGTGGATCCGATGACCCGTTTTTGAATCCTGGTAAGGATCCAAAATTGGGGGAATTGGGCTGTGAGAAAGTGCTGGTTTGTGTTGGAGAGAAAGATGTCTTGAAAGAAAGGGGATGCAATTATAGTGAGGTACTAAAAAAGAGTGGATGGAAAGGGGCTGTGGAGGTCATCGAAGCAAAGGGGGAGAACCATGTGTTCCATTTGTTCAATCCCACTTGCGACAATGCTGTGGCAATGTTCAAAAAAATTGTTTCTTTCATTAATTAATCAGGTTTAGGTTTTATTTGGGAAACATTGTCCTGCCTTTCTAATAAGCGTCATTAAGCCATCAAAATGATGTATTTAAGGAAAAGCGTCATCGATGTGTTTATTTGAGTGTCATGGATGACCAGTTTTGTTGTAGCGTTGCTATTTCACTGATTCGAACTCGATACCTAACTTCGGGTTTACTACGAAGCCAAGAAGTTAAAAAGACATTTATAATTTCTGTCAGCTTTCTTCTTTTATTCATCTATTTACGCTTTGTACTATGTTTTGCTGTCTTATTTGTCTATGTTAAATAAAACAAACTGCTTGGAGGAGTCCATTAAAGAAAACTGCTTTGAAAGTGGATTAGATTAGTGATTGTCTATCGAATTAATTAATTTTCAGAGAACATCACCTATCAAGCAATTAATTTTGATTCATAATTCATTCTCTGTAATTTTTTTTTTTGGTAAATATGAAGTAATAGAGAGATCAATAGGTTGTTGATGGATTGCCAGCTTGTAACATTGGTTAAGGGATTTAAAATTCAAGTGGTTAAGAACATTTACTATAATGTTTTAAGTTTAATTCCTTCTATATCAATTATCAATAATCCACCTACCGTGAAAGGTTTATTTTTCACTTATAATTCAATGGTTGTTGTCACAACCCGGCCCGGACCCCCATCACATCCTAGGCTCGACTTCGCCGTAGCACGATATTGTCCGCTTTGGGTCTCGACCACGCCCTCACGGTTTTGTTTCTGGGAACTCACACGAGAACTTCCCAGTGGGTCACCCATCTTGGGATTGCTCTCGCACGAACTCGCTTAACTTTGGAGTTCCTACGGAACCCGAAGCCAATGAGCTTCCAAAAGGCCTCGTGCTAGGTAGAGATGGAAATATACATATAAGACTTACATGATCCACTCCCTTGGGTGATGTGGGATGTCACAATTGTGATCAAATGAAATCAAATCTAAGGGTAAAAAAAAAATAAAATTGAGGGCTCAAAAATAAATCTAACTTCTAATTTGAAAAAAAAAATATTTAAATCAAATTTCTCTTAAAACTTTATAAATACCTATGTATTTGTATGATTTTTAATTATTTATCGGAATCTAAATATTTTTAAGTTAAAATGTTCACAAAAATAAATTACGATAATCTACATAATTTTTTTTTAAGAAAAATTTACCCAAAAAAATTAGGCTAAAATCATTATTTAATAATCTCGAGCTAAAATTTCAAGCTATAACCATTGGAAGAGAAAAATAGTTTCAGGGGTATGGCTTAAGTTTTTCAGGCATAAATTTTTAAGTTTTATCCCCATGGGTTGGAGATCATTGTAAAACCATTATAATTCATATATATAAAGTGAGAAAGCAAAATATGTGCCCTTTTTATATATATTTTTTTAGAATGCAATTTAATAAGAAAGAGAGCAAACTGTAAAAATACAAAATAAAACTACCTCACGTATAGGAGGGAAAAAGAGCAAATTGCCATGTGCTTATGAGTATGAAAAGAGGCTAGTGAATTTATAAATAGAAGTCTAAAAGTCTTTTTTTTTTTTTTTTTTTAAATTAATATGTCATTAACCTTTTCATTAAAAGTGAATGAGAAAATAGGACAATATGGTAAGTTTAGCAACACTTTTTATTTATATATTTAACTATAAAGGCAACACTATAGAAATCGTGTCCACACTATCTTATTACTATATCCTATTGGTAATATCTATGTTATCTCAACATCATATGTCATAAGTATCTACACCATCCAAATATCATATTGTTTTATAGGGGTGTTTTAGACAATTCACTTATTCTGCCCATGTCAATCGGGTCACTCATGTCGATCTTTCTATTTGAACAAAAAATATTTATAAACTTTTCTAGAATGACCAATTTTCCAATCAAATTATGAATTATGGGCTCTATCACATCCCGTCTCGGACGGGACCACTTCCCGGGCCCGTTCCACCACCTTAGCACGATATTGTCCGTTCTGGGCCCTGATCACGCCTTCACGGTTTTGTTTCTAGGAACTCACACGAGAACTTCTCGATGGGTCACCCATCCTGAGAAAACTCTCGCGCGCTACTCGCTTAACTTCGGAGTTCTAATAGAACCCGAAGCAGTGAGCTCCCAAAAAGACCTCGTGCTAGGTAGGGATGAGAATATACATATAAAGATCACTCCCCTGGGCGATGTGGGATGTCACAATCCAACCCCTTAGGGACCCGATGTCCTTGTCGGCACACATGCGACCAGGGTTAGGCTCTGATACCAAATTGTCACGTCCCGGCCTGGGCGGGACCACTTCCCGGGCCTACTCCACCACCGTAGCACGATATTGTTCACTTTGGGCCCCGACCACGCCCTCACGATTTTGTTTCTGGGAACTCACACGAGAACTTCCCAATGGGTCACCCATCCTGGGAATGCTCTTGCGCGCTACTCGCTTAACTTCGGAGTTCCAATGGAACCCGAAGCCATTGAGCTCCCAAAAGGCCTCATGCTAGGTAGGGATGAGAATATACATATAAGAATCACTCCCCTGGGTAATGTGAGATGTCACATGCTCAATATGAATTCATCGTTTCACTTCAATAATATATATTTTTTATTATTTTGAATGTACGCAAAAAGTATTGTGGTACCTTTTGGTTTAGTAAAATGATTTTTACACCTCATTTTCTTCACTTGTACTCATTTTTTTTCAGTTTCTGACAATGATTGAATAAAACAAATAAAATCAAAGTACATAGATTAACTAGCGTGTGGGGATCAGTTTCCCTAGGTTTAATATAGATTGAAAATATTTAATTCATTTCCCGTTGAAAGTTATTAATTTCTTTCAAGGAAGTAAAATATGATTCATTGTAACAAAAGAAGTAGGGAAAAATATGTACAATTCAATCCTTTGAGTTAGGCCAAGTGGCGATGGAGCATGAACAAATAAGTAACAATTGTTGATAGTTTCTCTCTTTCAATATAACAAAAATCATATATAATTAACTCGAAGTCTGGTCTGTGTTTATGAATGTGAGATTTCGAATTATTTATTAACTCCAACTAAGATGAAAATCTCCATTGGGTTCGTTTCTGTCTTGCTAGGAAAGGTTTTGCTTGATGTGACTAGAAATTATTTTAAAATTAATCCGCACGCATTTAGTACGCGTATAGGAGAAGAATAGCAGACCTTTCTCAATCCCCATTTCCATCTTTAAGCGAGAAAACTTTGACAAAGTCTCTTAAGATGGCATGTACTCCACATGACAAGCTCATATTTATATATATTTTATATCAAATTCACTTGTCTTTTCTAAGTTAGTTCCTTGCATTTTTGAGCTATTTACTTTGTTTTTGTGTTTTGTAGAATTTGTCAAGCAAATAAAAGAAAAATAGCACAAGTGGGATTTTAAGTAACGAATTCGTCAAAACTGCCTGTGCACTTCAGCTGACTTTGGAAGCAAGTTTCGGACAGCGCAGAATGAATTAGAGAATGAGCCTTATATGGTTGGAAAGCTACGGATGTCTATTTTCTGGAGCATTTCACGGATTGTTAATATCATTTTTCTACAAGAAGTTATGACCGTTTTAACACTGAAAGGTTCCCAAGAGGCTGAGCAGTTTGTAACTGACAAGAAAGCATTGAAAGCAATAAATCCAATAAAACTAGCAGCCAAAACTAATGCACCCAAGAACAAGCCAGCTGACACCTATTCAAATATCAGAGGAAATGGAAAATTAAGCGAGAGTAATGGGCATAAATGTTGCCCAAAGAGTTACAATTGTTTTAGCATTTCCTCTCACTTATTGTCATCACTAAATGGCTGTTAGTGGGGTGAGTTATGAAAAAAAAACTGTGGTAGCAGAAAAGAAAAAAAGGGCTGCAGGTTGCAGCGGCAAAGAGGGGAAAAAAAGTGGAGAAAAAAGATAGAAAAAAAGGAAGAAAAGCAAGGAAAAAAAGAAGTCTGCTGCGTTGGGGAAGGAAGGAAAGGAAGGAGGAAATCTTGGCATTCTCTTCTTTCGGTTTTATCTTCTCAAACTCATGTCTTTCTTTTGGTTTAATTTGAGAATTATGTGTAACTAATTTTTAGTAGTTAGGGGCTGTTTTGAAGCCTCGAATATGATTGCAATTTTGTTATGACATTTAGTTTGAATTACTTTTATGAATAGATGAAAATTAGTTCACTACTTGTCTCATTGATGAATTCTTTATGTGTTTTCTATGGATGCATACTCAATAAGCATATCTAGGATTCTAATGCTATGAATATGTGTGTGACTGCCCTTGTCGAATGAGGACCTGCATATGTTCTAGAGTAGTACTTGTTAATTGCGATTAACATGTGAATCAATTTCTAGGATAAGTAAGACAACACTAGTACTTACGATGCCTTGTGATGATTCAAACTCTTTTCGTTCTTAATGATTTCTACTTGTTAAATCTATGAACACATCATTCTAGATTGCATGTTAGGGATTAAGTTAAGTTGAAAACGCCATTCTCTTAACGTACTACATAAGAAAGAGTAATATGTTGAGTTCTAACATTGAGCCAACTTAAGCATCTTCATCCGGAAATAGAAGGAATTTGAATGACGCATAACATGTTTGCATGATTATTTGGTGGTGGATAGCAATTCCCCTATCGACACACAAATACAATAGCTTTCAGTTATAAAAAAAAGAAAAAAAGAAAAAGAAGGGAGTTTTTAAACTTTAATCCTTGAAGAAGATTAAATTCAATAAAAACTTGGTGTTAGATTGGATATTGCTTTTAGTACCTTTAATGTGTACCTAATTCAAATTTATATTATATTTTTGTTTTAATATTTAATAGATATCTTATGTAATGTCATTATATTTAAATTAAAATTATTTATTATTATACACATTTTAATTCATTATATTTATTTTACTTCCTCCAATTAGTGTACCTAAACGTCTGTATCATAATATATTTTACTAAATTAGTGTATTGAATTGTCCGTACTAAAATATATTGTAGTGAATTAGTGGCACATAAGAAAATATGCAAAAACATAAGTGTATCGAAAAATTTCGTACCTAAATATATGATATTAAATTAGTGTACCGAAATGTCGGTACCTAAATATATTATAATAAACTAGTATACCAAAATGTCCATACCTAAACATATTATATTAACCTAGTGTACCGA